TGCGTGCATGCCAATATCCCGAGAGGAGAATGGAGGAGAAGGGATTGTGGTGTGGCCATCCCCCCTGAGGGGTGATCTCTCACTTCCTGTCTCTCTGTCTCTCTCTGTCTGTCTGGCGAGCGCACGCGCCCTGTAACTCGCTCAGCTGTGCTGAGGCATGGTGCGACCAAGCACTGTCAGGCCGAGAGAGGCTGAGGATTTATGCCCCTCTCCTCCCCTCTCCTCCCGCCCTGGGACTGGCTTCTGAGGTCCTGGAGGCCAGTGCTGGGAGCAGACGTGGGTGGGGGCTGCAGCCCTGGCCGGCGGCAGAGTTCATCGCCCTCATCTCGCTGGCAGGCAGAGGCGCCCATGGGTGTGGGCCAGTTCCCAGGGCCCAGTTGACTAGGGACAGGTCACGGGTGTCTGCGAGAAGCCACAGGCCCAAAGCCGCCCCAGACACTGACTTCCCATGAGGCCGCCCAGGCCCGCGATAGGCAGGCAGGGTTTGGCAAAAACGCTGCAGCCGGCCTCTGTGTCTGCTGCCCCTGCGGTCAGCCTCGGCCTGCACCTCGGAGGAGGTTCCTGGGGACAAACATCACATCTGAAAATCACGAGCAGATACAGAAAGAAGCGTGAGGGCCTGGGGGACTTCTCACGCCTGTTACTGGCAGATAAGATTCTCTTCCCAGAAAAGCCAACAGCATCGAGGGAGGGCGTCTAGCACTCAGCCTCAGAGTGCCTAGAAGGGAGATAAGGGTCTAAGCACCAACAAGTGTGCTGGGGCCCAGCCTCGGCGGGGTGGGGTATCTCATTGGAGGCGGTGCGGGAAGGAAACACTGAGGCCTTGGTGCCTTTTCATGCACGTCCTCAGTCGGACACTCTCAGAGATCGCTAGGAATCATCGTGCCTTTTTATTGAAAATGTGATACATGCAAGTAAATGGGAGAGGGGCTACGTGTTCTAATTATCAGTTCATAAAGTTTTAACAGTAGGGAACATAGATTCCATTCAGGGTTGGATTAAGGGCGGGTCTATTATAGTTCAGCAATTGTTTGATTGATGTAGGCAGGTTTTCGGCAACTTCAAGGAATGCAGTTTCGGGAAACCTCCTCCAGCAAGCAGAGTTAATTATCAGCCGATGCTTGGCGACAGCCATCTTGTGATTACTGAGTACGATGCTAAGAAAAGAACATTTCAAGTATAGGTATTAGTTCTTATGGATCTCAATAAAGAATGATACTTATATAGTTTTATAGGGATCTAGAACTTAATTCAAGGAATCCTGATATATCTATCTATTCTAAAGGGTGAACCTGTTGTTCACTTGGTGAGCGCGGGGGTGTCCTGGGCCAGTTTCGGCCTAATCCTATTTTATGCAAAGCAAAGGTTATTTTTAAGCTTATGTTAAATGTGTCTTGAAGGGCTTTCCAAAGGTCAAGAAGATTTCTGTCTAGATGGAACTTCAGCACACCCTCCATTGTGACCACAGGGATGAAGCATTGTGACTAACGATAGGTGGTCAGGGCAAAGGGGAGCAGTCGGGGGACTTTTGGGAAATCTCATCACGTACTCAAGATGTATGAGAGAGCTATGTAATTCTTTTATAGTAGTACATCAGGGAGTCAGAGGGGGGTGCTTCCCAGCAAGGCTACTGCAGTCTCCAGAGCATACAGCAAGCGACCTTGCCAGCATGTTGAGTCGACCCAAGCTTTGCTCATAGGTCAGGGGACGTACAGCAGCAGCCTTGCCAACGTGCTGAGCTGACCAAAGCTGTGCTCAAAGGTCAAAGGCTCAAACAGATCCTGGGGCCCCACTGGGTCGGACTCCTCCTGAAGTGGAGAAAGAGTGAGAAACTGGTGACACATTGTCACCCCCAGGACACAGGCAGCCTGTCCTCATGGCAGGTCACCGCTGGGGTCCGCACCCACAGCTGCAAACGTCTCCCTGAGGAGACCTGTGGGCTCAGGGTTGCCCTGTCCCTGAGCCCTTCCACCCACACGCGCTGCGAACCCGGGATGAGTCAGACCTCACTGAGGCACAGTCGAAGCAAGGCCCAAGCCTCCAGTGGGGGAGACACAGCTGAGGCTACTGACCGCCCCAGGCAGGTGCAGGCGGCCCATGAGCGCCAAGCAGTCAGTGACGCGGTGGGCTGGAGCCTCAGGTCCTCGAGCAGCAGCCCCAGCCCACGGCACCACAGTGGCCAGTCAGAGGCAGGACTCTAAGGGCAAAGAAAGGCAAAAGTGTCATTGCCCACCCAGGTCATCGCAGACTGAGGCCTGGCTTCTGTGGGACACAGGTGGGGACGAAAGTGGGAGGGCGGGAGGAGAGAGGAGAGAGTGGGTTTGAAGCCACCTCATGCTGCTTAGAGGATTCATGGCAACAGTGTCACTGCCTG